ATATATCTAAGATTAGACGCAATTTTAATACTTTTCAATGTTCTTTTCCGCTCCCGCTAATTCTTCCGCTATTTCTTATTCACTTTGTGTAATATAATATAATATTATATGTACTAGCAACGATAGGTTACGCATGTACGTCGTAAACTTGCTCGAGTACTAATTAATAGATGTGGATTAACATAACTCTACATTAATATAGATTAATTAGGCGTCCTATACAAGCAAATATCTTTCCAAGACGGTTTATGTGCTCTGTCCAAGTAAACGACTAGTAAATGAATCGAATAATGGTTTATACGTATGAGAAAGTTGGTTAACACACGTATAAGAAAGTACAAGATGCGTAACGTTGCTGTCTCGTTTTATCTCATGCAGGCGGTAGCGATAACGTGTCTATAGATAGGTTCGTTTGTAACTTGTCTTGATGGACTGGACTTCTCAATAGGGATTCGTTTTGAATTTCATTGTTATCAAATATATTCTGCACTAGTAGATTGACTTCGAAATTTTAAAAGAATTTTTACATCATTTTCTTATTTTTTCTTGATATTTTGAAATACTGTACATTTACTGGGCCCAGAAGAAACATATTAGAATCTTGATCTTGATTATCCGAATATTCGATTATCCGAATAAGATCCGGACAAATCGGATTCCATACAGTTGTTGTAACTGAGCGCATCAAGGATTTGGACGCAATAAAAAGGTATGATTCATTACGTCAAAGATTAATAACTAATTAATTATTAATTAAAGGCAACGGATGGGGGATATCATGGGCGAAACAGTATACTCTGTTATGTCCATGGTACTGCTCATGTTTATAGGCGACGGTTACCACTTTCTGTCAGCTTGTTTGCCATTCTAAGTTGTAAAAAAAAAAAATTAACTGTTAATAACTAATCATGGCTGTGTTTCGGTTTGAAGGGTGTGATATAGCAGAGAATTTACAAGGTACAGAGAAATAACACCCGAGTCCACAGAAATGGCAACGCATGGGGGGTGGCATGGGTGAAACAGTATACTCTGTTGTGTCCATGGTACTACTCTATGTCTATAGACGACGGTTAACACTTTCCATCAGCTTGTTTGCCTAAGTTGCATAAAAAGACATTTCCAACCAAAAGTTTTGAACTACATAGGTATTACGCAATCGATTGTCTTTATAGCTCGTAATTTTTTTTATACTCGTATTTCATGACTAATTTAAGTGACGTATTTAAAACCCTTCACATAATAAAAAAAAAAATCATTTAATTATTATTTGATCAGACTTTGTAATCGATTATCCGGATTTTCGATTATACGGAATATTGAAAAATACGGTTTTATTTAATTCGGATAATCGAGTCTCCACTTCTTTTGTAGTAGGTTTTTCTTTTTATTTTATATTTTTAACGTTATTTTCTTTCATAACTGTTTGCTAGCTGCTGAACATCAATACTTTTATGTAATAAAAATAAAATATGAATATATATGAGCCATCTGCTATATCATATCTCTGTTTCAATAAAGACTTGAACCAATATGTAGCAATTTCCTGTTCGTTTCAAATGTTTGTATAATGGAAATAAAATAATATTATGTGAGCGTTATAATTCTAATATCATTCCATATATCAAATAATTTTTTTATAAAATTATCTTTGATTTCTGTATTAGAAAGTATTCTCGAGAGAGTTTTATTTATTTTGTATCCATGGGGTTGATTATTGGAATATTTGCATTAAAAATAAAAAAAATTAAAATGTATTTCGCAATAAAATATATTTTGCTTTCAAACCGAAATAAAAAATGCAAGCAAATTACTCGGAATCTATATGTTGAGTACCGGTTGAGAATCTGTCTATATGTATGTATGTGTGAAGCATCGAGTGAAAATAACATCTCTAAAATGGAGGTATTAAGTTGAAATTAATATAATTTTTTTTTATACAACTTAGAATGGCGAACAAGCTGACGGCCCACCTGATGGAAAGTGGTAACCGTCGCCTATAGACATGAGCAGTACCATGGATATAACAGAGTACACTGTTTCGTATAATATATTCAGGTCTGCAATCTCTTAAAGCAATAAAACTATCAAGCTTCTAAATCGACGCAATCAAAAGATAGGGCTGTTTATGTACCATTTATATCGCATATTTTGACATTCGCAAAGGGAATCTAAACCTATAGGGTACTTCTAATTGAACTAGAATCATGAAATTTGGCAAGAAGCAATGTCATGTAGGACAAATAAAGGAAAAAATTTAAATTTGTAGTTAATTCATAAAAAAAAAAACTTGATGTTTCTGTACGGAAACTCGTTGCGCACTTGACCGGCTTTTTTTTTTTTTATTAAAAGCCACAATTTTTTTAGATTACATTAAAAGTGAGCATAAACTATATTCCATTAAAAATGGGCATTAAAAAAACGGATTTTGTCGAATCATTTGCAGGGAGACACACTATCTAGTTATTACTGTTATAGTTTGTACAATACCTCTCTGTATTCATAATATACAATCTTCTAACATTAAATCAAGTTATCATACATAAATCCTGATCACACATAGTAAAAAGCCTAAGGCCAACCGTATACTGAGATACAGGCGACGCAATTTACCGTAGCGCGAAACAGAACAGGTTTAGTGACGTATAAAAAACATGGAGCTTTGTATCCCACAATAAATAAGGAATTTATATTATATTTACGTGTGATAAAACACGGAATGTATCTGTGCAATTGAATTACTCTGAGGTTGTGTCATTGGCATAGATTATAGCGCGACATGTACTTAATGAGATACTTTTTTCTTGTTTTGGCGCTAAAATACTTTTTTTTTCTTTTAAATATGCAGTAAGTCAAAGATCATCAGCAAATTTATTTACAGGGTACAGAAGAATAACACCCGAGTCCTCAGGAATGGCAACGCATGGCGTATCATGGGCGAAACAGTATACTCTGTTATGTCCATGGCACTGCTCATGTCTATAGGCGACGGTTACTACTTTCCATCAGGTGGGCCGTTAGCCAGTTTACCATTCTAAATTGCATAGAAAAATATGTATTTTTTTATGCAATTTAGATTCATAGATGATTCATTTACATTACTAGATTATATATTCGACACAGTTTATATAAAAAGTATGCAAGTAGTTTGTATCTGAATTTGGTAGGGTTATATGGCCAATAAAACCAAGTGACATATCTTGATGAATTTGACTCTTACGGACTAGTCGGGGGGAAAGGGATTGTTAGTAATGGAGACTGAGAATCCCATTGCTAGCAATATACCCAACCAGGTCGACTTTTCGCGGTTCTCCCTGGACACTATTCATGGTTAATTCCTGATGAATTCATCATGATGGGCTAACTGGCCTGTTTTCATTCTCACCTATCACCCTTTACTGGTGCTCCGCCAGTGTATCCCGTTAGCGCGAGCGGGGTTACCATACCGTTTTCACCCATCTACGGACTAGTCAAAAGTCAGATGCGTTTTCATATGTCTATCCCTCTCTAACGCATTGGCAATGTAGTAAATACAACGAGCAACAAACTATGTGGTTTTTTATTTGATATTTTTTGTTTCACAGCGTACACAGATTAGTCTACAATATATTCATATTTATATTTCTTTATTAACCAATGTAACAGTTTTCGTTACACAATGGCAAGTCAATATTTACATTCTAATTTTGAAATTAATAAAATAAATAATATTTTTTTATACAACTTTGTACAAAAGTCTTTGTGTAAAAGAGGGAGACTTTGTACAAAAGTCGATTGCTTGGGTACCTCTGTCTCATTCGTGTTTCAAGCGTGAAGCAGCTGTGTTTGCGTGGCTGTTTCAGTTTGAAGGGTGGGATATGGCGTGAATTTACTGAGTACAGAAGAATGACACCTGAGTCCTCAGGAATGACAACGCATGGGGGGTATCATGGGTGAAACAGTATACTCTGCTATGTCCATGGTACTACTCATGTCTATAAGCGACGGTTACCACTTTCCATCAGGTGGGCCGTCAGCTTGTTTGCCATTCTAAGTTGTACAAAAAAAAAAGGATGTTGTACAAAATATGTCTTTATTTTATTTTTAAATTTATTTCTCGGCTATAGCTTTAATATTTTAAAGTATGACGCGTGGCTGTCAAGTCTTATCTGTATACGTTCCATTTACCGTCTATGATCCGTCAACGAACAATCTTGTTTAAACCAAACGTTCATAACACATGATCCCACGTCTCCATATGATATAATGGTGTTAGATTTTTTTTTTGTACGACATTGGTACTGATTTATTTCCGTTTTTTTCATACTAAATGTGTAAAAATTTAACTCAAAACAAATCAGATTTATATTTAATTTTTTTTTCTAATCCATTTTGATGAAATTTCCATGGGATTAATCTGTAAGTATATCCTTTCAAATGTATATTTAATTGATGGAGTTTTTTTTTTAATATGTGATAATGGAACGGTTTCCCAAAGAGGGTTGACGTCAGGCAGGCGGCCAGTCGTAAAACTATAAGCTAAATCCTTTAGTAATATGTATAAAACCATATTACGCCGACCCCGAATAATAATTGGGATAAAGGTAGGAAGATGATGATGATGATGTGATAATGGAACGGTATCTCCGCCTGCGCTATTGGTATACACCCGCGGAGCACTAGTGAAGGATGATAGGTGAGGATGAAGCAGGGCAGTTAGCCCATCGTGACGAATATATATATATATATATATATATATATATATATATATATATATATATATATATATATATATATATATATATATATATATATATGTGTGTGTGTGTGTGTGTGTAATCATAATATAGCTTTTAAAAAAAGGTGAGCGAACGATCCATCAAATGAGCAAGGCAACAAAACGAATTCTTGTTAAACAAGCCTCAAATCATAAGCACAATCTGATAGGACGTGGCGGCCTTACAAAAAACAATTCCAACCCTCGATAAGGCGCGGCGTTGTATTAAAATCCGTACTGTTTATCTGATAACCGGTGTATTTCGCCGGCAATCGATGCCGGTGTCGCATTTTCCTGACCGGTAAATAATATTTCATTAGTGGAGCACTTCCTCAAATATTTGCCGTTAGCGCCCACGATTTCGTTTCACGTCTCCGTTCCCGGCACACTCATTCTCTCCGGCGACGAAAGGAGCCGCACTGAAAGTCAGTCATTGTCGGGATTGTAGACAGGACGCTTGCCGCGTCCGCCGCCGCTCCGAACTTTGTTGGCCGTCGAAAACCGTCAGCGACTCGAACTGTTACTAAGTACCGGTAATTTCAAATATAACACGTACATCACTATTAATAAAAAAAAATAAATGTAGTAATTTATTTCTAGTGTTTTCAAAAGTTGTGTTTTATTTTTTAAATTTCGAACGTTCCGTTAATTATGATTTAAAAAGAAAATTGAGACTAAAGCACAGTGAGGTGCGGGTTTGTTTTAAGAAAAAAAAATATTCTTTTCTTCGACCTAATTTTATGAGGTGGCCGGCTCTTCGAGGACTTAATGGCGGCATCTTGACAACGTTTTAATGTGAGTAAATTACTGAGTCTTTTCGCTTTTTCTTTAGCCAATGTTTTTAGGGTGCTTTATAATGAGCAAGAAATGTATTTAAACAAGGTTTTCTGGAATAGATTATACTCAAATACTCATGAATTTATGAGTTCAAGTTTCTTTTTTATTTTGGTCGTGTAAAATTATTATAAAATCTTACGTATGATGTTTTTAGTTAAGGCAAAGAATTTGAACATGTTTTTCAAAAAAGAATTCTTAATTAACAGTAGTTTAATAACTAATGTTGGGTCAAAAAACGATGAAAAAAAATTTTTATCTACAATTTTTTTTCGTCGTTTTTTGCCCCAATATGGGTCATCATTAAATAAAAAATAATTTCATTGATTGAATATAAAGGTTAAATATAAAATGGTGTTAATGATTTAAAATTGAAAATATATAAAAATTACTTTAAGAAATATAGGCAGAGAAAGTAAAAGAAAAAGACCCTTAACATATTATATATTTTTATATTATACAGAGAGGGTAACTGAGAACAAAAACTTCAAATCCACTAACAGTATTTAAAACAAGACGTATAATAAATAGTAATCCTTCTCGTTAGGTTGAAATTAAATAAACAAAATGAAAAGTGCATATAATTGTTTCTTTTTTTAACCATAGTTGCGTCATTATGAAAATTTTGAAAAAAAAATAAATTAATAACTATTAAACGATTTCAAATTCGATTTGTAATTTAACAGATTATTAAAGTTCAGATTTTTATTTAAATTTTATATACGAATGTCTGGATCAAAAATATTTATCCGGATATTATTCTTTCTACTAGTCTCGCTAAAAATGCATCGTCAAAAACAGTTTCACATTTTTTTAATACCGGGATTTTTCATCCTCACCTATCATCCCTCACTGGTGCCCCGTTAGCGTATACTGGTAGTGCAAGCAGTGTTACCATTTTATTATCAACCATTGAAAAAAAAAAAAGACAAGAGATTGACAAATACAGAAACACTTTCATTTTGGTGGAAGGGAGAGCATATAGCTCTAACTGGTGAGATCGAGCCGATAGGGTCCCCTGGAACTCATCATGGTTATTTCCTAACAAAATCAAGGCCAACTGACCTGACTTCATCCTCGTTATTTCATCCTACACTGGTGTTCCGCCATTATACCATTCAACGTGATTCATTAAAAAGAAAAAAAGATGAGATAATGACACTTTTATATCGTCGGAAAACTCACCGCTTCTAAAAACAAAAGATTGTTGCCAAACCATTTTCTATGGAGAGACTCCATCTAGATTCTACAGATCTCGAGTTTTACATTCACGCCTTTTGCACGAACCTCTAGAGTGAAATAGATTAGAGGTATATGAGTACATCGTAGAATTTACAATCTTCTTTCACTCGTAAAGGGTTATATGTCAAGGGTAGGATACAAAGGGCATTATGTTAATGATACAGTCTTTACAGATTTTTGCGTCGGCGCTCGAGGTTTATTGCTAATCCTTAAAAAGAGTTATGCATTACCTTTTATAACTAGACTAGCGATCCGTCCCGGTTTTTCCACGCCCAAAAACATATATGCAATATATTTTTTTTTGATGGGTGAAAATGGTATGGTAACCCCGCCTGCGCTAACGGGATACGCTAGAGGTGCACCAGTGAAGGGTGATAGATGAGAATGAAAACAGGCCAGTTAGCCCATCATGATGAATTCATCAGGAATTAACCATGATAGTTTCCAGGGAGAACCGCGAGGAGGTCGACCTGGTTGGGTATATTACTAGGATTCTCAGTCTCCATTACTAACAATCCCTTTCCCCCCATATGCAACATATTCATCATCATCTACATGATCATTCCAGCCTTTAACTGTCCACTGCTAAATATAGGCTTCCTCTATTGGGGGGAGGGTTTCCAGTTGTTACCATGCTTAGCAGTTGGGTTAGGAATTACAGTTAGATTTTGGTGACGTTTTAAAAGAAACGCTGTTGCCCATTCTTTAATCATTCAGTTCCCTTAGTCGCCTCTTACTACACTCACGAGATAGGAAGGCGTTAAGAAGGGGGCCAATTCTATGCCGGGACCATTCGGCCTTAATACCAAAATACAAAGGTTTAATTCTTAAATTTATTATTGTAACCTATCCCTTGTTTACTGTTTGTTATATACTGGCCACCAGTCGCTAGTTCGAATTTTTATATATGTGAAATATCTATTGACATGTGTCACAATTATTCTATTCTAATAAAATAACTTATGTAGATATACGTATTTTATAAATTGGCGACGATGTCAACTATCGATACAAAAAAATTGAAGAAAACACGAGCCTCGCTACGGGGTTTACTCACAAAACTAGAAAATTATATCACGACTAACGAAACAATCCCTCAAGAAGAAATTCAGTCAAGACTTCAATCACTTCAAGAAACATTACGAAAATTACAAGAAATTCAACACGAAATAGAAACAGAATCACCAGAGGAACAACTTAATGAAGAAATAGAAACAAGGTACGACTTTGAAGAGAAATGTACAATTTTAAAGACCAAACTTTTGATACTACAAAACAGAAATCACGAACCCACCGCAGCACTACAGCTATCCCCATCACCTTCGAGCACCAATTCACGTCAAGACAGAAATCCCAAAATGAACTTTCAACCATTTCAAGAAAAGGAAACCTTTAAAAATTTTACGAAAAGATTAACAGTATATTTCTTATTAAACAACATTGAAGACCCTAAAATTAAAGTATATATATTACTATCGGCGTTATCTCCTGAACTTCATGAAAAGTTACACGACCTATGCTCTCCTGAGGATCCAATTAATATGAACTTTATAGAACTTACTCGTACACTGGATGACCACATAGATCCAAAACCGAGTGTATGGGCATTACAACATAAATTTATTACACGGGTACAAAAAGAGGATGAAACAGTAGCAATGTACGCCTCCGAATTAAAGAAATTGTCCAACAACTGTGAATTCAAATGTCAAAACTGCCATAAACCAACCTTAGAAAGCTTTATATCACTGCAATTTATCCGAGGATTGAAGGACAGTGATATAAGAATAAGAATCCTACAAGACCGAGAAACTCCACCTTTTACGAGATTGGTACAAATAGCTACATCCATGGAAATGGGAAAATCGGAAAACATACGAATGTCTACAGACATCCACAGATATTCTGACAGCCTCAATAGAATTACAAATATAACAAATAAAAGTAATTATGCTAATACATCACCATCTCAAATACAAAATCGAAGACTACCAATAACAATAAAAGAATTGAAAGGAAAATGCTACCGATGTGGAAAAAATGACCACCAGTCTAAAGAATGTGGTGCTCTAAAATCCATTTGCATGAAGTGCAACAAAACGGGTCATCTAGCGCGTGTTTGTTTACAAAGAAACCTAAATATGAATAAATTAGATGATACGACAAGTAATACGAGTGATGACAACACGGGGGATATTAATCTCATGAAAAGTGAAATATCAGAAAAATACATGATCCCAATAAAAATTGAGAACATACCAATCAATATGGAATTTGACACTGGAGCAACATTGTCATCAATATCCCTGAAACAATTCAAGAAATTGAATATCAGAAACCGAATATTCAAAACTGATATGAGATTAAGAACATACACTGGAGAAATTATTAAACCCTCAGGAGTTGCTTACGTCAAATATGCATATAAAGATCAGACCTTTAATGGAAAATTATATATAATCAACCAAGACGTTGACGCAATTTTTGGCAGAAGCTGGATGAAAGAACTTACAATAAAATTATCAGATATCAATATAATACGAAATTCAGAACCATCTACGAATCTTGATCAATTATTAGAAGAATATACGAACACTGTATTTAGGACCGACTTAGGAAAAATACCAAATTACCAAGCTCATCTGAATCTCAAGGATAATATACAACCTATATTTATTAAACCTCGTCGTATACCGTATGCTTTAAAGGAAAAAGTTGATGTAGAGATAGAGCGACTATGTTCAGAAGGAATCTTAACTAAAGTGGACCATGCGGAATGGGGAACTCCAATCGTACCGATCATAAAACCTAACGGCACTATCCGTTTATGCGCAGACTATAAGGTAACCCTTAACAAATGTATCAAGGATGAACAATACCCAATCCCCATAATTGAAGACATATTCGCAGAAATGAATGGAGGGAAATACTTCTGTACCTTAGATATCAAACAAGCCTACCTAAATTTAGAAATGGATGAAGAAAGCGCCCTTCTACAAACGTTAAGCACACACAAGGGAACTTATAAAGTAAATCGATTGATGTTCGGTGTTAAGGTAGCACCTAGCCTATGGCAAAAATTTATGGATCAATTACTTCAGGGACTAGATGGAGTCAAATGCCTTTTTGATGACATTATTATTCAAGGAACCTCAGAAGATCAACTCCTATCACGACTGAGACAAGTTCTTCAGAAACTCAAAGAGAGTAACCTGCGCGTCAATAGAGAAAAATGCAACTTTTTTAAGCGAAGTATTAATTACCTAGGACATATAATAGATGAAGATGGACTACATAAAAATAAAGACAAAGTGAAGGCCATTATGAAAACAGAGAGACCAAAAAACGTAAATGAATTAAGAACCTTTCTTGGTATGGCGAATTATTACAATAAATTTATACCCAACTTAGCCTCAATAACAAATCCCCTAAATGAATTACTAAAGAAAGAAAAGGAATTTCAATGGTCCTCCAAATGTGAGACAAGCTTTAATAAAATTAAACAGGAGATATTGAGTGAAAGAGTACTCATTCATTTCGATCCCAAAAAACCATTGATAATAGCCACGGATGCTTCTCCAACAGGATTAGGAGTTGTTTTATCTCATAAACTAAAGGATGGATCTGAAAGGCCAATCGCATTTGCTTCTCGATCACTTTCAACTAGCGAAAAGAAATATAGTCAAATCGATAAAGAAGCTACAGCCATCTTTTGGGGT